TACAACATTTGTAATCAACTATCAAATTGCTAAATAAAAAGGGTTATTTTAAATAGAAGTGTGGTGAAGTGAGTGTTTGTTCAACGACCTTTTACTATCCTCGTCTTTCCTCGTGGGTTCCAACCCTTTGAGCGGATCGAATCCCAAAATAATATCTTGTTGCACCGAGAGGTACAACAACGTCTTTTCTTTTGAGCTTCCTCTGAGTTTTTCTGTATCTTCTGTTAACTTTTTTACTGTTCTTTTTTTTTAAATTAATTCTAATAACATTTGTATAAAAGGTTAAAATATAACAGAAGGATTTCTCAATATACGCATAGTCGCTTCATTTTAAAATAATTTTCTAGGATTTGTGAAAAATTTCAGGGATTTGGTAAATGTGTAACCGATTGTCATTCAAAACAGATTCTCTTTCATTTTCTGTGTCTTGTATTACAAATAACTCTTTATTTTTCCTTTACGTCTTTTCTTTTGAGCTTCCTCTGTGAGTTTCTCTGTATCTTTTGTTAACTTTTTTATTGGTTTTTTTTTAAATTAATTCTAATAACATTTGTATAAAAGGTTCGATATTAATTAATTATTAATAATTGACAAGTTAAATTTTATTTGTGAAAAATTTCAGGGATTTGGTAAATATAACTCTGTATCTTCTGTTAACTTTTTTACTGGTTTTCTTTAAAATTAATTCTAATAACATTTGTATAAAAGATTTTATTTGTGAAAAATTTTAGGGATTTGGTAAATTTAACTTTTACGTCTTTTCTTTTGAGCTTCCTCTGTGAGTTTCATATTCTCTATATCTTCTGTTAACTTTTTTACTGCTTTTCTTTAAAATTAATTCTAATAACATTTGTATAAAAGGTTTTATTTGTGGAAAATTTCAGGGATTTGGTAAATGTTATTGGCATTCTTTCTGCTCCGCTAGTCCTAGGTGAAATAGGTGTGCTCTGAGGGGCCTATCGAGAGGCCTATATTTCCTCAGTTTTGTTTTTCCCATTGCAAACAGTTCTCTAGCTCTTGTTGGTTTGGGACGTCTCATGAGTTGTTCAGCTCGTTTACAGCCCCCCTCTCTACCACCTTCCAGGAGCTCAAGTGCTCCTGTTTAAGCCACTCTTTGATCAATTTTGTTCCTGCTGAAAATGGTACCCCGACGGTCTGTTCAGTTGGACCTTTTCAATGCCCAGCTTTGACAGCTCGTCCGCCCTCTCATTTCTAGGTATACCCTGATGTCCAGGAATACGTACTAGGGTTACTTGATTTGTTAATCTTAGTGTTGTGTGAGTGCTTGTATACAGTTCCAGACCACAGATGATTCTGTGGAGGTTCTTGCAAGTGCTTCGATAGCTGCTCTGCTATCTGTGCATTTATTCTACCAAGTTAAACTGACAGTAAAATATTGCAACAAAAATGTATTAAACCAAAATGTTTTTCTCTATCTCTTTATCTCTTTTCCTTTACATCTAGTTTAATTATTATTAAAAAAACATTGGTTTTTCCACAATATGTTTGCCTCATCTTGGACCTGCATTAAGAATTCCGTTATTTTTCGTATTAAATTTTTTACTGCCTTGTTGGAGAGTATCTTCATTTCCGACTCTACATATAGTATAAAAGATCCAATACGAGCGGGCACATTAGATTCCATAATTTTTTTTACAAAATACTTTAAAATCTTCCGTCAAAGATCCTGCAGCCGATTCTTTTTTTTTTTTCTTTGGTGTAGAAAAACATTTGTTCTTTGAGAGATTGCTTGTCGTTCTATAATTAGATTATTATTTTTATTTCTAAAATAACTATTGTCCATTATAATTTTAATCGAAAGTATTTAAAAAACTATTCTCATTTTCATTTGTGAAAAAGAAAAGTGCAAATTTATATTTTTTTTATTTCTCCCCACCCCCCACTCCCACTATCCATCTTTTTCGCTGTATTTTACTCTC